CGACATACTGGGTAAAAGGAACTGAAGTGAATAAGCCTTTGGTGTGAGGTTTTATGTTTGTCTGGCTAGGTGTTAAGCTGTGTTTACTGTTTGCTGTAACAGTGAGCATAAAAGGCTAAGATTTCCTTTAGCGTCCTTATTTTTGTTCCCCTGTCATCTCTGGGTTTTCTGACACTGCATTAGATGGAGTCTGAGCCCTGCCATTCTTTTACCTACAACCTGCTGCTATCATGCAGGAGCTTGATTGATGTAGTGATAAGGTGTGGGGGAAGGGAAGCATGCTGTATCCCAAAACTAGGTCTCCATTGTTGTGTGAGTCTGCCCCTGGGCTGCGATCTTCACAAGCTCTTCTTAGGTTTTTTCCCCCAGAGGTGACACAGGAAGGCTAGTGGGGGCTGGAGTTGGCCATTTCTCCTCCTCCACATCAAGGGCTGGACGGGGCTGGAGTTGGGTATTTCTCTTTCCCCAGATTCACTAGACTGGCAAAAATAGTTTCTTTTGAGGGCACTCTTTTGTTAAGGAGCACAGAATCTTCTGGGCATATTTCACAATGGTTACTTTTGCTCTCCTCCTGCTAAAAGCACAAGGAGACACCCAATATTCACACTGAGAACCTGATGAGGTTCCTAGGGTTAAAACTCGTAAAATGTGGGGATTTGTCTAAGGAGGGACCCTCAGAGTTTTTAATTCTCAAGCTAGTCCACACCGAGCCTATAGCAATTCATCAATCTCAGGTTAAGCTTTCCCACCAGGACCGCTCCAGTGGCTGACGTCTGCTCCTGGCCTTCTCCTCCTGGTAAGCTGTGACTCTTCTATCCGCCTCTCCCTGCAGTTTGCGGGCAGCGGTTTCCCCTATGACCTCAATTCTCTGTTGAACATAAGAAGAGTTGTCAGTTTTTGGTTTGTTCAGCTTGTTTGCTTTTGTGAGGATGGCAACTATAACTTCCAAGCTCTTTACGTGCCAGACCGGAAACTGGAAGTCATAAGGAAATGTGAACAATTGTATGCCAACAAATGAGACAGGTTAGACAAAATGGGCAAATTCCTAGAAAGATACAAACTACCAAAACTGACTCAAAAAGAAATAGATACTCTTAATAGACCTGTAACAAGAGATTGAATTAGTCATTTTAAAACTTCCCACAAAGAAAAGCCCGGCCCAGATGGCTTCACTGGTGAATTCTACCAAACATTTAAAGAAGAATTGATGCCATTTTTGCAAACTCTACCAAAAAATAGAGAAGTAGTTCTTTCCAAGTCATTTCATGAGGTCAGCACTAACCTGATACCAAAACCAGACAAATACACCACAGACTGATATCCCTTATAAATATAGATGCAAAATTCCTGAGCAAAATACTAGCAAACCAAATCCAGCATCATATAAAAGAATTCTATCCACGACCAACTGGGATTTATCCCATGAATACAAGGTTCGTTTAACATCCAAAAACCAATGCAATATACCATATTAGTAGAATAAAGAACAAAATCCACATGAGCATCTCAATAGATGCAGAAAATACATATGACAAAACCCAGGAGATTTTCACTATAAAAATCTAGGAATAGAAGGGAACTTCTGCAACCTGATAAAAGTATCTATGAAAAAGTACAACTAACATCATAGTTAATGATAAAGTATTGAATGCTTTCCCATTCAAATTAGGAACAAGACAAAGACATCCACCCTTGTCATTTCTATTCAACAACGTACGGGAGGTTCTAGCTAGGCAATTAGGCATGAAGAAGAATAAAAGGCATCAAGGTTGGAAAGGAAGAAGTAAAATTCTCTAATCATGATGACATGATCTTGTATATAGAAAAGCCTAAAGAATCTACTGAAAACCCTTAGGACTAATGAACAAGTTTGGCAAGGTTGCAGAATACAAGATCAATATGTAAGTATCAGTTGCAGTTCTACACACAAGCAAAGAAAAATCCAAAAATAAAATTAAGAAAACAATTCCATTTACAATGGCATCAAAAAGAATCAAATACTGAGGAATAAAAAGCACAAGATCCATACACTGAAATCTACAAAACATTGTTGAAAGAAATTTTAACAGATCTAAATAAATGAGGAGACATCCCATGTTCATGGATTGGAGGACATGATATTGTTAAGATGGCAATACTCCATAAATTGATCTACAGACTCAATACAATCCCTTTCAAAATCCCAGCTGACTCCTTTTTTTGACAGAAATTACAAGTTGATTCTAAAATTCATCTGGAAAAACAAGGGACCCAGAATAGCCAAAATAACCTTGAAAACAAAGAACAAATTTGGAAGACTTGTGCTTCCCAATTTCAAACTTACTGTAAAGCTACAGTAATCAAGAGTATGCTACTGGCACAGGAATAGACATACAGATCAACAGAATAGAATTGGCAGCTGAGAAATAAACCTTAAATCTATGATCAATTGATTTTCAACAGGGGTACTGAGACAACAAAAATGGGGCCAGAATAGTCTTTTCAAAAAATGGTGCTGGGGGAGCGGCCCAGTCACGTAGTGGTTAAGTTTGCATGCTCCACTTCAGCGGCCCAGGGTTTGCCAGTGCGGATCCTGGGCGTGGACTTACATACCACTCATCAAGCCATGCTGTGGAGACATCCCACATACAAAATAGAGGCAGATTGGCACAGATGTTAACTCAGTGACAATCTTCCTCACCATCAACAATGGTGCAGGGACAACTGGATAGCCATACAAAAAAGAATGAGCTTGACCCCCTTCCTCACATCATACGTAAGAATTAACTCAAAATGGATCATAAACCTAAAAAAAAGAGCTAAAACTATAAAAATCTTGGAAGAAAACATGGAAGTAAGTCTTCATGACCTTGGCTTGGGCAATAGTTTCTTAGTTATTACACCAAAAGCACAGCAACAAAACAGAAAATAGATAAATTGGAGTTCATCAAAATTAAAAACTTTTGTACTGCAAATGATACCATCAAGAAAGTGAAAAGACAACCCACAGAAAGGGTAAAATATAGTCAAATCATACATCTGATAAATGACTTGTCCTCAAAATATAGAAAAAGAGGGAACATTTACACCTACAACTCAACAAAAAGCTCAATTTAAAAATGGGCAAAGGGTCTGATGAGGCAGTTCTCCAAAGAAGACACACAAATGGTTAACAAGCATACGAAAAGATGCCCAGTTATTAGTCAATAGGGAAATGCAAATAAAAACCACAAGAACACTCACCAGAATGGCTACAATAAAAAAGACAGACAGTAACAAGTGTGGCGAGGATATGGAGAAATTGGAACCTTCAGTGCATTGTCGGTGGGAATATAAAATGATGCAGCCACTTTGGAAAACCATTTGGCAGTTCTTCAAAAAGTTAAACACAGAGAGTTACCTTCTGACCCAGCAATCCCGTATATACACTCCTAGGAATCTATCCAAGAGAGTGAGTACCCTCTTGCCTGGCTGGATTCAAGTGCTCCCATTATGCCATCAGGAATCTCAATAGAAGATAGATAGGTAGATGATAGAAGATTGATAGATATAGATCGATCGATACATGATAGATAGATAGATAGAAGATTAGAAAGATAGACGAGAGAGAGAACTAGATTTATCTCAGCCCTGCTTTCCTCTGTGTTGACCTTGTTCCCTGTTCTGTCAAGATGACCACCAGCCACTCCAGGCTCACAGTCTCCCAGTTCAGCCGCTCCAGTGGAAAGAGCACCTTTCCAAGTACCTACAGACAACACTCCCAGACTGCTTCTCATTGGCCTGCTTCAGGACACTTGCCCATCACTCAGTCAACCAGTGGCCTGGGGAATGGCCTTTGTGGTTGATCTGACCGAGAGGTCATGCTCATCTCTAGGTGGGTGATGAGGAGACACACCTGGCACATGTGCTGTGGTCCCCTGAAGGGATTTTGAGATGCTGATGACAGAAGTGGGTATGGGAGTTGGGATCCACTACAGTGATAGAAAGTATAACTTAGAAGCAGGTTGTCATTAAACCTTCTGAGCTTAGGAACAGAAAGCTCTATCATGATCCCTGGAAATGATTTTTAAACCAATCTGAAAAAAAAGTTGTGCTCAAGGTTGAATAATGAACTTTAATTAAACATACAACCACACAGATGGTGTCTCTTGAAAAATTTCTAAGACAATAGCAAAAGTTGAAACTCTTTGTGGTTTGGATGCACCAGTCCTTATGATGAGATTGCGGGACTCGGCACAGTGTTGTCAGATGGTTCCTATTCCAAGCTTTCGGTTTTATCACAGTGTGTACGGAAAGCTGACTTCCAATGGCAGCACTGGAGGCAGAGCAGTCCAATCTCTGCCCTAAATGGGATGGGGGGAGGGTGCAAATCCAGGAGTTCAAGGATATTGTGTTACAGCGTTTCCTGTGTGTCACCTGCACAGCAAAGCCGGCTCCCGTCGGTACCTGCTTCACCCTGAACAAGCTGCAGCCCACGACCAGTGGCAGAGCCTTTCCGGACGGCTGAATTTCAGTCCGGCTTCCTTGATCCTAGCAGTGGCAATCTTTGTCATCTTAGCATAAATTTCTAGCAAAGTTTTTTAAATTAATATTTTATTAAAAACACACATAGGTCCTTAAATGGCCTACTACTGATCACCTCTTTGGGGTTTTTCCACAGCTTAGCATTTTACATGTATTAATTGTTCTCTGCATACAGAGGCCAGATTCTGTCTTGCATTTTTTGTAGCTTTCATAGCAACTCTGCAGAGTAAATGTTAGAGAAAATTTTTTTAAATAACACCAGTTTGATGACTCAGAATGTTATCTTGCCTGGGAACACTACTACTAGGAATAATGATATAGCATTTATTATATTATTAAATATAATGGCATTTATTAAGCACTTACATGTACTAATTTAATTTTCACAAGACTTTCAGAGGATGGTACCATTTCAATAATGAGGAAACTCAGAGAGGTAAACTCATTTACCCAACGTCACACAGCTAGTAAGAGATGGAGCCAGAACTCAAACTCACATTCTGGCCAGTGCTTTTAACCACCTCGCTGGCATTTCGAGGGCAGCCTCTATGTCATCATATCCATCAGGAGCCCTGGTGACCATCACCAGGCCCGGTTCCTGCAAAGACTAGAAAGGCACAGATGTGAAACAGCGTGCACACACACACCCAACACATACACCCACAACCCTCACACACGCCTGCATTGCTTCTTGCCTGGCCAATCGCACCACCCTCTCTCTCCTGTCGCTTCCTCAGAAAGGCAGCCAACAGTGTCAGCCGTGGGGTTGGAACTGGAGCCATTTCCTTCCTGGGGGACTGAAAGGCATCAGCCCCTGCCCTTCCATGTTGGTGAGACACCCTGCCCCCTCGCACTGTCCAGTGAGGATCAAACAAGCCTGTGCGGGGCTGGGCCTTGGATGCACGGGGGTAGAATTTGTACCTGAGGAAGATGTAGTGTCGATTTGCCTTTTTCAGGGTGACCAGGGCCACCAGGCCCCACACCTCTGCTCGTGGCCCCCGGGAGCCCTGTATGGCCAGAGAGGATCAGTGTGCCACCCTCTCACGCGGCCTGTCTCTCGGGAAAGCAAAGCAACAGGGAGAAAAGTCCACAGCTGGCCCTGCTCCTCTCTAGGTCAGCCTAAAGGGACAATCCCGGGTCCTTCTACCCCTTCCCGGGTGCTCTAGAGCTACAAATTCACAGTTGCCGAGATGCCGTGGCAGCCAGCTTTCTGAGAGGAATCCAGTCCCCTGCACCAAGCTAACCCTAACCCTAACAGTGAGGCCCTGACTGGGGTCTTCTCTCAACCTCTGAGGTCATAGACGTGACCCCAGACATGGAACACAGAAACAGAAGGTTCCACATTCTTCAGGCTCAAAGGGGGCTCCGGCGCTCGGGGGCAGAAGCGGAGAACTGGCCTGCCGATCTTCCTCACGAGGAGGTGAGGGGGGAGGCGTGGGAACTCAGAGGCTGTGTGACAGAAGAGAGTGGCTCCCCTCTCCTCAGAGCCTCCCTCACCACATTTAGCAGCGTCTGCAAGAAACGGAGGAAGGCGTCTGGGTTGGTGGGCTCCGTAGCCTTTGGCCTTCCCGCCCTGTCCAACGAGCAGGACCTGAAGCCAGGTGGCTGGAACGAGAGTGCCAGCGTCAGAAGAACTAAAGATGCATCTACCTCTGCCGTAAGCCCAGCAATGAGGCCACGGAGAGGAGAGACTGGGCTGCAGGCGCACCTGACACCACTGAGCCATGAGCCAAATCGGGGCGACAACAAGAGGATGTGGCACCAGGCCACCACTGGGGGACGTCGGAAAGATGGGGTCCAGGCTCGCAAAGCTTAGAAATTGCTGAGCTCCCAACAGACCCCTGGGGGCTTGTTGGGGTTTCCACTTCTCCACACCAAACCCACGGTCAACATCTGCACCAGGCAATGACCTCCTGAAAGAAAGCAAGCAAGCCCCTGTCCCATCCCTCCAGCCAACCCCCGCCACCACCACCACACAGGGGAAATGCACAGAGAGGGAGGGTGTGCGAGCAAACAGACCACGCCTTCCTCCTCTCCAAGCCTCGGCTCCAGGGACACGGCCAGGGCTGGGAGGAGGCAAGGAGCTCTGAATGGACTCTGAAGTTGAAGTTGAAATTGCAAAATGAATGAGAGTAAGTTCCAATAACCAGGAGACTGTTGCAATAAGCAGAAGTGAGTGCAAAATTATGGAACCCAATTGAGAAGTTGCCAAGGGAACCTGCTGCCCAGGTCATGGTCAACACAGCACAGCCAGTAGGCATTACTAGAAAACAAAGTGGTTTTCGTGTTTATTCTCCAATAAAGTGAGACCTCCCAATCTAAGCTCTAAAGCACCAACGGTGAGTTTAAGGCACATCCATCCTTGCCCGTATGGGCCAAGAATCAAGGCAGTGAGGGCCATGGTTGGGTGCAGAGCCTCCAGTCAGTAAGAACCACTGTGAGACCTGGCACCGCTGCTATCAGCGGTGTGGCCCCGGGCAAGCCCAAGACAGCTGTGCTTCCGTTTCCTCATTCGTAAAGTGGAGATGCTGCAGAGTTCTTGGGAGAATTATCTAAGAGAAGTGGTGTAAAGCATTTAGCCCATGTCTGGTAGACGGTGAGTCCTTAAGTGTTCATTATTGTCCTTACTCCTAATCTCTGCACAGAATCCCACAGTGGTTCCAGATGCCTCCATCTTCCTCCTCAGTTAACACGCCTTCCACTCTCTCTTTTCTTGGCTTTCTTGCCACCATCCTCTCTGACTTTCCTTCTTCATCTCCCCATCTACTGACCTCTTCAGGCTCAGGCCCGGCGCTCTCCTCTCACCTCCACAGTCTCCTTGGGAGACTGAACTTCTTTTCACCTCTTTCAACACCATCGATGGGCCCACAGCTCCCAGAGACGCAGCTCAACCCGGGTGGTCTTCCTGAGCCCACCTGCAGGCTTACAGACCCAGCGCTGACTTGACAGCTCCCTCATGTGTCTCATGGCATCTCAAACATGTCCAAAGGTGAGCTTGGGGTCTGCCCTCCCCACCACTGCCTACACCTGGTTTTCCCACCCAACCCCCTCCAGCCCAGCTAGTTGCTCAAACCAGAAACCTGAAAGGAACCCTCTAAACCTGTGTCTCCGTCACCCTCCACCGACATCCATCACCAAGTACTCTTAGTTCTACCTCCAAAATATACCCCTAATCCATTCCCTTCTCTCCCCTGTCCACTCCCACCACCGCAGGCCACGCCACCCTCCGCTCTCACACGAACAACGCCCATGGAGTCCTAACTGGTCTCCTTGCCTTCACTCTTTTTTTTTAACTTTATTTTGTGGTAAAATATATATAACATAAAATTCACCATTTTAACCACTGAAAAGTGAACAATTCAGTGGTATTTAGTACATTCACAATGTTGTGCAACCATCACCACTCTCGAGTTCTAGAATATTTTCATCCCATTCTCCTCCCCCGCCCCAGGCAGGCCCTGATCTGCGTTCTGTCTCCACAGCTTGATCTTCTCTGGACACCTCCTATCAATGGAATAGTGCAGACTGGCCTTCTGCGTCTGGCTCTTGTCGCTCAGGTGGTGTCTCCCAGGTTCGCCCCCTCTGCTGCGGTGTCAGTGTGTCCAGACTTCACTCCTGTTTATTCTGTGCTCCCACTCTTGCCTCCGATTTATTTTCACAAAGATGCCAAAGTAATCTTTTAAAGGTGCATTATTCTCTTGTTTAGAACTTTTCATCGACCGCCTCCTGTTCTCAGGATAAAGCGCAGCCCTCCTGACACAGCCTTCCTGGGCCCGCACCACGGGGCCTCTCACATCACTGCCCCGCCGTCTTGCTCACCGTCTCCCCCCAGCTCACTTTTCCAGCTGCCTGGCTCGCTCTCAGTTCTGTTGGAGCTTTGTCCTGTCACACGTTTCTTCGACCTGGGATGCTCTCCTCCCAACTTTGCCTTCCTCAGAGCAACCTTCCTGACTCCTCCATCTAAACTACGGTGCCCCACTTTTGCTCAGAGTGCCCTGTTATTTTGCTTTCTAGCACACGTCACAATGTGTAATGAAGCAGGGAGTCTATCTGTTTAATATCCTGCGGGGCTGTAAGTTCCACGACGTCAGGAACCAGCTCTCTCTTCTTACCAGTCTCATCTGTGTCCAGCCCTGTGCCTACCACAGGGCAGTTGCTCAAAAAATACTGATGACTGAGTGAATGAATGAATGGACTTTCCAGAGCGGAAACAGTAGGAAACGGTAACTCGACTGCTTCCACTATTAAAGCGCCTAATCTAAAATTGCTCAGCCCGCCGAAGCCCTCATTTACCCTTATCATCACCACTATCATCAACAGCGACTTCCTGCTGACCTAATGGTGGCGGCATTGTGGCAGCCTCAGAAAAAATCACACTTTCTGGGTAATTCCAGTTCTCCTACAATTTTCACTCCAGGCAGCTGGAAGCTGGAGGCTAGCAGCCAGCCCCATGAAGAATGACTGCTGGGCAACAGAGACCATGGGACATGGGACGATTTCCTGGCTCCTATCCTTCTGTCGGCAAAGTCACCCTTACAGCATGCTTCTCAAGCTTCCCTGTTCACAATGCTCTTCAAAGGCAAAGACACCTCCCTCGCAGCTCCTGCTCACCATGCTGACAGAAATAGAGAATTCAAGAGAAGGATGGCCCTGCTTTAACTGAGACACCAAATGAGGACCATCATGAGTAATTACTAATTCACACCAGCAACAAAAACCCAGCACTAACATTCACCCTGCCAGAGAGCAGCCTTGCGGAACACCAGGGCACCTGGACCACACTTCGAGAACATCTCTCTAAAAGGATTTGGGAATTTCCTGCTAACCTCCCTGACTTTATTATTGTGGTCCCAGATGAAACCCAACCCAGTTAAGTTAGAAACATTTTTAACCAAAAGCAGAGCCATCCCTGCTATGCGCAGCTCACGGCTCTGCATTGCCGCTCCACTGTCCGGGCCTTTGGTGCCTCTGTCAGCTGGCACCATCTTCTTCCTCCTTTGATGTGGTTCCTCATTTGAGCATGTCTTGGTCTGAGTGCATCTGGAGCTAACAAACTAGGTCCATTAGTTCTAGTGCTCCAGGGCTTAAAAACGGAGGCCACAAGTGGGCTTTGAAAAGAATAAGAGACCACAAATAGAGCTGTTAACATTCTTTACCCTGGCTCACCCCCGCAGAGGAGCCCCAAGATCCGCAGAACATTGGGTGATACATTCAGCTAGTCCATGAACAAACATTTGCTGAGCATTACCAAGTGCCAGGCACTGGGCTGGGGACCCAGGATACAATGGTGGACAAGACAGATACAGTCTTTGTCCTGCTGGAGTTTACAGCCTAGCTGGCAATAAGTCAACCACTATACTACTTAGTAATTGCTATGACGAGGGAGATAAAGGATCCTTGGGAGCTCATAGGAGGGACCACGCATCAAGACCTGGGGAGGAAAGTCAGAGAAGGCTGCTTTGTAGAAGCAGAGAGGTGAAGGATAAGTAGAAATAACAAATAAAGTGAACAGGGTGGAGTAAAAAGTGCACAGATAGAGGGAGTACATATGCAAGGGACCAGCAGTAAAAGAATTTAAGGAACTAGAATGAAGTTTAAGCTGGGTGGCGGGGAGAAGAGTTAGGAGAGATGATGCTGGAAAGATAAGAAGCAGATCTGGCATGGTCTTGTAAGTTACTTCAAAGAGTTTGACATTTATTCTAAGGGTTTTGAGGAGCCAGAACAGGATTTGAAATAGGGGAGGGGGAAATTTGCATTTTCTAAAGATCTCTTTGACTGTGTAGGGGAGGAGGACATTTCCTCTCCCCAAATGTGGGTTCGTCTGGCCGGAGAACAAATTAAAGTCACATGAGACAGAATAGCAAGAGAAAATTAAACAAAGCTTTATGAGGACCATGGCCCGGGGCCTTTCTTCCCGAAGGAAGAAAGGGCACCAAAGAAGTGGGGTGCACACAGTGGTTATATACCCCCAAACAGGGTGTTTCACATGTGATTGAAATGTCCCTCCCGCAATAGTCACAAGATTGCCCCGTCAGCACAGTGCTTGATGGACACAGCAG